GTTGAAAACATAGCAAAAGAAGGGATGCAAAGGAAACCTAAGGAGATTAAGATAGAGGAGTGAAAACAGGACCTCGCTGGGAAGAAGGCCAGCACCAGTTCTAATATTCACCTCTCGGGGGCAATTTCTATTTTCTACATCGTCAGGGAGGTGAAGTTTCATGCGAAGAACGTCTAGATCTACTGTCATGGTGAGAATGAATGAAGATTTCGAGGAGGAAAAAGAAGTCTTCTAAAAGAAAAATGCAAATGAAACTAACCTCAGAGAGTGAGAACAGCAAAAAGTACTGCAAGGCTACTGGAAAGAGGATCTTTTGCAAGAGATCGCCGGAGAGGATTCAAACAACAGAAAGTGAGATGGAGACGGTAAAGAGGATCGATGGAACATCTATGAAGCTTATAAAGACAAGGTGAGCCCAAGGGCCGAGGAGTCAGGAAAGCGATGAGTTTTTTGAATCTCGAAACGCGGACCCCTAAATCTAACCGTCCATTCTCCCACGTGATCTTCTCGAGCCATCAGGTTATCATTAGCAGCCTCTAATAATACCCCCTAATCAATAAGGGGTAATTATGGGGGCAGTTGAGGATGCAGCAAGTGGCATGGGCCGGATATAGTTCGCTGGAATGGGATCGGGTCGAACAATTGAAGTATGGCCCATGCCAAAGCACCCCGGAATGGGCCGAACCTGGAGGATCCACCGAGGAAGATCAAGCCCATTGGAAGATCAGGCCCAGAAGGAAGAAAACTTTTGAACATAGGCCCAATGTAATCAGTTAACAATAATAATTGTAATAGTTTATAAATAGACCATTACAGGTGGATAAAAAGGGGGGAATTTTTTGGAAGAATTCTAGAGAAAGAGAGAGAAAGAAGAAACGAATTCTTGCATCTTCAATATACAATAAATAAATAAATAAATAAATATAAAATCAATTCTACAAATAAGAGAGAGAGAGAGTTTTTTGGTTGCTTAGTTACAGTGCAGTGGACCCATTTACAAGGAGGATAATATTGTAATTTGTAAAATATGAATTTTTGTTTTTTTTTAAAATAAAGTGAAATATCACAAGAGTAATCTAGTCATTTCATAAACTCATAACGGTTCATTGACAGAATTGGGGCAAAGTGACAATGTTGTAATATTATTGGGGTTTTTACAAACTGATGAAGTAGATCAAAAAAAGAAAGTAGCAGAGTTTATTTATTTATTTATTTAAACCCTTAATAAAATTTATGTTGACCTCTAGGGTGGTTAAAAGTTCCTTTCAAATAACAGAAGATATGTCAAGTAATTAAAACTCAATGCGTAAAAGCAATACAAATCTACAAGGAAAATGATTTTTGTACCGAATAGTTACAGTGAATTGCTAAACCTACTCTTTTAAAGGAAATAGAGCCCTCCATTTAGTTGTATTTGGTATAAATAGCCAATTAAAAATTATTCAGTTAGACAATTTACTGCAAGTGTTCGGCGTGAGTATCACTACTCAATCTACAATTCTAAGTAGCTCTGATATTACAAAGTACCCAATAAGCGTCCCAACAAAAACAATCAAAGAAAGAAAGAAATTAAAGGAACAAGTGACTCCATTAAACAGATTAAGAATTCTCCGCTATGCATACATATATAATTATATTCTATATATATATATATATGTATGTATGTATGTGATTTACTTACATATTTCAACCAATAAATGTGTGTTTCATTCTAATTGTTTTAAGGGTTAATTTAACTAACACCCCTTCAGGTTTGGCCAAATATCATATTGAAATATCTTTCGAAATAACTATCATTCAAGTTACAAAAATGTTTGTTCCGTTTTCCACTTACACCCCAAAAGTTATTTTTCATGTGTGTCAGATACATTTTTTGTATGTAAAATGACATTACTACCATTCTAACTATATGTTAACTTAAAAAAGTATTGAAATGACTTGAATAACCTTTGACTTTTATTATATAAATTTATAATTATTCTTTATATCTATATATACATATCATCATGTAGAACCACCTCCAATTTAAAATTATTCTTTATATATATATATATATATATTTCTCATTATGTACACCAACTAAATTATAATTATTTTTTATAATTATATATTTCTCATCAGTACACCACCAATTTTCTCCACCTTTTCTATATCTTTTTCTTTTTCTTTTCTTTTTTTATTTTATTTTCTAATTTCCTTTTCTTCTTTATTACTGCTAGCAAAGAATTTTTTTTTTCCTTTTTTAATTTTATTTTCTATATATATATATATATTTCATCATGTACACCACCAGTTTTAGCTACCTTTTCTTTTTCCTTTTTTATTTCATTTATTTTCTTCTTAGTCATTACTTTTGGCAAAGAAGAGAGACAGAGAGGCCATTAATGGTTCCTCATCACCGGCAATCACTTTGGTTGCCTCTTCTCTCTCGATGCCAGAACGTCGATAACAGTGACCACCACGGCAAGGGCCGAGCTAGAGGGGAGCCAGCACGGGCCATGGACCCCCCTAAAATTTTTGAAAATTTATTTATTTATTTTTCATAAATGGAAATTTTTTTATTACCTCTTAATTGTTAATTAATTTATAAATTTTATGTCTTAATCTATTAAAAATTTTAATTGCCCCCCCCCCCCCCAATATTTTAACAGATATATTGACCAATTAATTTTTTTGAAAATTCTTTTAATAGCCCCTAAATATTAATTAATTTGTGGATTTTGTCCCTAAAATTGATTAAAATTTTCAATTGGCCCCCCAATCTTTTTCAAAACACATATATTGACCCAAAATAAAAAGTTTGAAAATAAATTTAATTTGTGTCTCCTTGAAATTTAAATATTTTTCAACTTGCATTCTTTTAACTATACTTTTAAAAACTCAAATATTATGAAAAAAAAATTTAAGCTCATTATTATTAGTCATTTTTTTTTTTTGGTAAATAATTATTATAGTTGTTAGCCCAACACATTGTTATTTTATTTATATATACACGTACACTATCTATAATATTAATTCAAGAGAAAAAAAAAAAGAATAAAATAATTAATGTCCTCATGTTTGGTAAAAATGCATGAAGCATTCTTTGTTAAACATTTTTGTAAAATGGTATTTACAAGAAAAATATCTAAAATTATATAACAAACTTTATTGGTAAGTCCTAGGAATATTAATTTGGAAAGAAGATAAAGTAAAATATTGTGAGACTCTCAATAACAATAATAATGTCATCTGTATACTTTTACTTATTACTTTCTAAATAACAAATTTTATAACTATTTGTATCTCGTTTATTAACTCAATAATAATCTTATTGATTTTTTTTTGGTTAAAAATTGAGTTAAATTCATTATGTTGTTGAATTGTGGAATCTACCTAATTTTCTTCTTCCAAAAATTAGATTTTTGGAAAATCATAACAATTGATAAACAAAATTTGATTTTCTAACAATGGTTATTTATTTATTTTTTTTAGTTCGCACCAGGAACTCCCCTAGGCAGGGCTCCTTCGGGACCCACCATAGACTACAAACCTAGGTGTGTAGAGCCTCACCCCAAGGATACACCGGGTAAGTTGGAAGACATGGATGGCTTGGGAGGAGTCGAACACTGGCCTAGTGTGTGCAAGTGTCAAGCTCCTACCATCACAGCCAAGCCCCGGGGACCTAACAATGGTTATTTCATTACATTTCTTCTCCATAATTTTCTTCTAACATTAATTTATATTATTTTTGTGTCCAAGTTATATTTTTTAAAAACTACATCAGCCTTTGCTCAAGCCAGGTGGAACCGAGTTTTTGCACATATGCAGCCTAGGTGTATTCTAAATTTGGACATGTTCACGAGTAGATGATACCGCAAGATTCATGACACTTGCAATAAAAAGAATTATTCAGGAATGGAGAAAGGGAGGGGCTCACTGATTGCTTTAGGATGACAACTAATTGTGTTGGTTGGTGGTTACTAAAACACGATTTTGCAACTGAACTGCTGGAGTTTTGAACAGATGAAATGAAAAACCTGCTGCTGTAAGGGTCTCTCTGCTACTGAATATGGTGTTGGTGGTAAAGAAGAAAGACATATAACGGCCCCTAATTATTTATTAATTTCAGTGAGCAAGATTTTATGAACAAGCCAACCCAGCAACCAACAAGGTTCATCATCATGCATATAATAAGTCAATATTTTTGAGTATATAATAGAAAGATTGAGATAATTATATTTTTGGAATGAAATTAATTTACAAATATAGAATATAAGGATTAAGAAAACAATTTAGGAGAACAAAATATGAAACATATATATAATTCTACGAAGAATGAGAAAATTTAAGGGGGCACGTTCCATATTTTCATTAAAAAAACATATATATTATTATAATATATATATATATATATATATATATATATATATATATATATAGAATATAAGAGGGAGAAAATCTGGGGGTACACGTGCCCCTTTTGGTCCTTTACCGGCTCCGTAAGCAAGTACTCAAACACACATTTCACAACTTGCCCACTACCGGGAGGAGAGATAATACCATTTGGTGTTACACTGCCACTTGATCACATATCTTGTAGGGTTGACTTTTTGAGCTTTATTTCTAATTAACAACATTTGCCGGTTTGATGCCGGCTAAGGTTTAGTTCACAAAGCTTGTTTTAGCCAATCTTCTTAATGACTTGCTGATAATCAGCCAAAAGAGCCTTTTTAAAAACATTTAAATATCGAGAAGTAGCCTTTTAAACAACATCCAAATATCCATAGTAGTATATACTGGTGTTTTCTTTAGTAAACGATAATGAACACAAAAACATGTTGAGATTACAGCTCTAATTGACAATAACAAGAAACATCAAATCAACGGCATTGTAGTTTCCAATTCACTTGATTTGTCTTAGGCTGTGCTTATAAATTGACATCCTTTGGTTGAAGGCTCAAGTTAAAAAGTCTTGCATACAATTTCCATCAAACTATTATCATCAGTTTATGGTCAACATGGGTTGCAAGCTTGAATTGTTACTCACACTAGCACTCTCACTTGGTACTCTCTGTATTTCACATGCTGGGGATGCAGACATTCTTTCTGATTTCATTGTCCCAATGAACACCACCATTATTGATGGCAACTTTTTCACCTTCACTGGCATGAGAGTTCTTCTAGGGGGAGATTTTCCGACAACTTTCAAGGTTTTGAAAGCAAGCATGGCTGAATTCCCGGCTCTTAACGGTCAAAGTGTTTCTTATGCAGTTCTTCAGTACCCTGCTGGCTCTGTCAATCCACCTCACACCCATCCTCGTGCATCTGAGCTCTTGTTTCTCCTCAATGGCAACCTTCAAGTGGGGTTTGTCGACACCACTAACAAGCTCTTTACTCAGACACTCCAGGCTGGTGACATCTTTGTGTTTCCCAAGGGACTTATTCACTACCAATACAACTATGATGAAAAAAACTCCGCCATTGCAGTATCTGCATTTGGCAGTGCAAGTGCTGGAACCGCATCAATTCCTAGTTCCGTCTTCAATACCAGCATTGATAGTGGGATACTTGCAAAGTCTTTCAAAACTGATGTTGAAACTATTCAGAAAATCAAATCTGGCTTTGTAGCCTAGGCCTGAGCCAGAAGGGCATTACTAGTTCAAAAAATGTCAGCATTCTGGGTTTTTTTTTTTTTTTTTAATAAATTTTATGTATTATTTGTTTCGTGAATAATTTCCTTTATCAATTGAAGGATATCAATCAATGGCTGTTTTTGCAAGAATTTTCTTCAGGTGTTATTTTTGGGAAGAAATTAAATCTGTTACATGCCAGAAACTATAAATCGCGCACGATAGGATTTAGGCAAACCTGTTCCAAACTCACTTTGTTGCCATCCATACGTATTGATTTTGGGCTTCATATAAGATCCCTAGTGTATAATAGCCTTGGGTCTACATATTTTTCTTCTCTCAGTTGCAATCAAAACTATATTAGCCATTGCTTGAACTAGGTGGAAGCTGAATTTATGACTCAACATACCTAATGCTATGTTTGGCGGCACTGAATCGGTGCCTTGAATTTGAGATTGAAGAAAATTTAGTACAAAATTTGAACCAAACTTTCTCCAAATCTCAAATCCAAGGCACCAATTTGGTACTCCTAAACATAAATATATTATAAATCAGTTCGTATTCACAAATAAATGATGATGAAAGTTTCATGGCATTTGCAATAAGAAGTGATTATATTCATATGCGGGAGAGAGTATCTGATAGCAAAAGGTTCACACTGATTGCTTTAAGATGACAACTAATTGTGTTGGTTGACTGAAGCATGGTTTTGATATTTATTGATATGGTCTCTACAACCAGTAATATGTACTTTGCACTAGTTTTTACAATGTACTCTTGTAATGTTTCTACATTTTACAATTTTTCAATTTTCGGAAGTTTTTGATTTTTCGAGGGTATTTTTGTGTTTCCTCGTTTTGCGTGTCGGACACCGTGGAGTGTGCTGGGTGTGTCCGAGAGTTTATTGGTGCATTTCTTTGAATCCAGGACTCCTAAAAATGCAATGGTGGTTATTTTTACATTTTTTCATTTTTTAGACCGGACGGTCACGGGTAGGACCCGTTGCCAGGGCTATTATGCACGGGGACTATATTTTGGATCCATCGCATTTCATGCATAATTATTTTGTGCATATTTATATAGTGGTGTGTTATTTTATGTGGTTAGGAATTAATTGGAATAATTATATATATATAAATGGAAAATGGTAGGATATTTTTGGTGAGTGGGACCCACCACTCTTTTCTTTTCTTTTATGGCCGCCAAAGCCATTTTTGGCTTTCATTCTATCTCTCTACGAATCTCTCCGTCTCCTTAGTTCTCATTTTCAGTTTCTTTTTCCTTTTGCTTCAAAGTTTCAATCTTTGATTTTCTTGTGATGTTTCCATTTTTCACCATTTTTCTATTTTTCGGAATTTTTAACGTTGTGAGGGTATTTTCATCATTTGCCGTTTTGTGTACCGGACACTGTGGAGTGTGCCGGTTGTGTCTGAGAATTGATTGGGGCATTTCATTGAGTTCAGGACTCTTTGAAATGCAATGTTGTCATTTTTGCCTTTTTTCGCTTTTCAGGCCGGATGGTCCCGTGTGGGACCCGCTACCTGAATTGTTACATAGAGGGATTTTAGTTGGGTCCATTTGCATCATATTTATTTTATTTATTGTGTTTAAAGTGATTGTGATTTAAATGTGTATATATGTATGTGTGTGGTATAAAAAGAAAATAAAATTAAAGGAAAAAAAAATTATCTTGGAGGTGGGACCCGCCACCACTTTAAGTGGTCATGAGACCAAATTCTTGGTCTCAATTCTCTCTTCCTCTCCCACTGGTTCCCCTCTCTCACTCTCTCATTTTCCTTTTTCTTTTTCTTTTTACTTCAAACTTTAAACATTGATTATTCCTTCATTACTTGGAATTTTTGGAAGCCGTTTGCGGCAAAACGAAGAGCGCGGCGAGATCTTCAGATAAATGTAAACAATTTCAGCTTTGGTGCCTCCTTGAATTTTCAAATCTAAGGCTTGGGAATTGGCGGAATCGACTCTTATTGCATCGTGCTGTCTTTTGGCAAGAACGGATGCTTTGACCATACTGTACATCATTGAACTTGTAGAGACGTTTGTACTACTTGACGAAGTTGCAACCTTCTTGTCACCTTTTGTGGTGGTAATGAAGTTGTCCATCACGACTACGATGTCCTTGGGGGATTCTTGCTCTTCGTCTTAATCTTGTTGGAAGTCATAGAATCTGACGATGAATTTGTTGAGGATTTGATGTAAAAGAAAGAGATGAGAGGCAGAGGAGGTCCCATCGGGCGTGCCAAAAATTTACTCACACATATTTTGTAGTCTGCAAATAAAGAGAAAAATAGGGAGCAAATAGTAATTTATTAATTTATGAAATTGAAGTACAATCCTCTGAAATATTCTTTATAAAAGAAAGAAAATATCATCTGATTTGATCTCTTTTGTTTGTTGGATTTAAGGGTTGTTGGAGTTTGATCTTAAATCAAGTTGTTGACAATCTTCTTTAAGTATTTGTAGTTGAAGAAGATCGCCGATGATTTTTGATCGAGGGCTGACGAAGCTTGATCTCGAATAGTGTTATTTGATGATTCTTTGAACTTATTGAATCGCAGGAAAAGAACGACACGATTTTGATGTGCTTGTTGTTCTTTATTAAATTTGAGGAAGAACGATACAACTTTGGATGTGTTTGTTGTTCTTTGTTGAATTTGAGAAAGAACGACACGACTTTGGAGGTGCTTGTTGTTCTTTGTTAAATTTGAGAAAGAACGACACGATTTGATGTGCTTGTTACTCTTCGCCTTCAAGCAAGTTTGGGTGTTAGGGATGAATGTTGGCAAAGCTTCTGTATTTCTCTCTAGAATTCTGGATTTCTGACCCTTTGGATTTATGAGTTTCTCAATTTCTGGACCCCTCCCTCTTTCCTCCATGCCTTTACTTATAGGCTTCTTGGATTCATAGGATGATGACACATGTTCTCTCTTGATAAGGACAAAATTATAACTGGGCCGAGCCGGTTATATTGTGATAACTATACGTATATTGTGATAATTATCCATAAAAATAATTATTCCAAATATATTTTATTAAGAATAATTATCTTTTGATTTAATCATCTGGGCTGAGCTAATTAAATAATTTAAGTGGACCAAGTTTAGGCCAATTAAATAATTTAATTAAACATTAAACCCATATTTGATGGGTCAATTTGTCACAACAAAAATCCATTAAAATTTTAGTGTCTACAGTGAGGAAGAAACCCAAGAGAGAGGAGAGAGAAATAGCTTGAGTAGTGGGCATGTGTTTGTTTCCTCTGATTCTAAAGAGAGAAAATAAAGCTAGAAAGAAAGAGACCAAGCCTTTTCGTTAGGGTTTCTTTGGTTAGCATGAAATAGCTAGAAAGGAAAATAAAAGGAAAATATTTAACTTTTTTAGAAGTTTAGTTAGCGTGAAAGAGAAAATTTTCAAGAAAGTAATTTTCATGTAACTGCTTAATTTTTCTCAAAAATTTTCTGACATAAAACATAGGGAAATTTTACTTTCCTATGAAAGTGGTGCATTCACATTTTAGCTTCCTATTATGCCCATATCACCCTCCTCACTTTCTCCACAAACTTCTATAACAAGTTAGCTTCATTCTTTTGTAAATTGCTTATAGGATCATGTAAATACTAATTTAATTGTATATAGTTTTATATCAAAATTAAAATTTTATTTTATTTTATTTTTTTGTTCCACAATTAATAATGATTGAGAGTGATATATATATATATATATATATGAGTATTTAGTACCAAAGTGTTGGATAAAAAACTAGATTAGTGTCTTTTGTATACAAGTTTTTAAATTATAATTTAATTCATATATATATATATATATATATATATATATATATATATATATATATATATTTTTATACATAGACTTCTCATGACTTTAGGACTCAACTACTGAAATGTATCAAACTTCTTAGTTTTAACTCTACGTATATTAGATATACCAAATTAATTTTGTTTTAACTCTACGTATATTATATGTACCAAACTAATTTAGTTACAAATATTTTATTTCTATTAGGCTGAAGTGTTTTTATTATTTATTTATTTTTTATTTTTGACTAAAACTATATATATATTAATTTCAACCTTTTATCCTCAAGAATTTTCGGATCAAAATTTTTTATTAATTAAACTTGTACCTATAATCACATATATCTAATTATTAAACAATGACCATTAATTTATCTTTGAACTTAAAATTTTAATTTTGTTCCTAATTCTGGAGATATGATAGTTTCTCAAAAGAGTACAAAGTAATCTTATAATTAAAAGGGTAGTTTTGGGAACTATAATCACTTTCTTTTCACTTTTATTTTTTCCAAACTCACAAAACAATATTTTCTCACAACTTTCTTGAAAAATTTTCTTGCTAACCAAATACATAATAAAAACTTGATTTTCTTTTTCTTTCCTTTACTTTCTTTCACTTTTACTTTCACTTTCCATCCAAACGGACCTTTAGGAAAATTTCTACCGGAAAAAAAAAGTTTTTTCATTTGGGAAATTAATTTCTCCTGAAGAATGTGTTCGCTTAGATCTTATCATATAGATCCTGTTGTTGATTGGCAATTAATTGGAAACACGATAGAACAAACAAAGGGCAAAGCTCAAAATAGGCAAAGATCACTGTTGGCCCACTTACGTAACATGAATCTTTGGTAGGACTCGGTTATTAGAATTCTTTCCTCTATATGCAAATTCCTGTCTAGTCCTTTGTACCCGAAGAGCACTAAGGGAAGGATGATAGGAAGAACTTGAACTGTTACTTTTAGGGGAGTTATATATACAATAAATAAATAAATAAATATATATATATATATATAATCAATTCTACAAATAAGAGAGAGAAAGAGAGTTTTTTGGTTGCTTAGTTACAATGCAGTGGACCCATTTACAAGGAGGATAATATTGTAATTTGTAAAATATGAAATTTTTTTTTTTGTTTTTAAATAAAGTGGAATAACATAAGGGTAATCTAGTCATTTCATAAACTCATAACGGTTTGTTGACAGAATTGGGAAAAAGTGGCAACGGTGTAATATTATTGGGGTTTTTATAAAGTGATAGAGTATTATGATCAAAAATGAAAGTAGTAGAGTTTTTTTTATTTAAACCCTTAATAAAATTTATGTTGACCTTTAGGGTGGTTAAAAGTTCTTTTCAAATAACAATTATTAGAAGATATGTCAAATAATGAAAACTCAATGCGTAAAAGCAATACAAATCTACAAGGGAAATGATTTTTGCACCGAATAATTATAGTCAATTGCTAAACATACTCTTTTAATTGGCCAAT